TATAACAGAATAGCTTTAGTGTAGTTGTTGTTTTAAACTTGAGTATGAACTTATACAAAATACAGCAAGATATTTAAAAAACAGTTTTGTTGATTAAAAAACACTATATCGGATTCATATCGGTATCAGCAGATATCCAAATTTATGATATCGGTATCGGTATCGGATATAAAAAAGTGGTATTGTGCCATCTCTAATCAAAACCATAACTGAAACCTACAATGCAAAAAATTTTAGAATAATCTCAACAATTTACGAGCATATAAGGGAGGCAAGAGGGTGTACAATAACATCTGTAAAACTGAAGTGGCAGAGAAAGTTGGGAGGGAACACATCCGATGAGGAATGGTCAGAAATCTGGAAAACACAGCAGTCAACAACATCATCACGTGTCTGGAGATTGCATTACTGGAAAAATGTAATAAGATCTTTTATAACACCCAAAATTAGGAACAAACACACTTCATTACCACAACCGTGTTGGAGAAGCTGTAGAGATGTAAATGTGACTCATTCCCATGTGTTGTGGTTCTGCCCCAAGATCGCAAAATTTTGTGAAGATGTCCATTTAGTTATAAGTAAAATTCTGGGTTATACTGTGTCCAAGTCTTGTATATTATTATATCTTGGTGTCATTACGGGAAATGTGTTGAAAGAAAATAGATACATATTGAAAATTATGCTTGCAGCCTGTAAAAAGGCTATCACAAGAAATTGGTACAAGATAGACCCACCATCGCAGGATGAATGGATCAAAATTATAGACGAAATACAAATTATGGAACAACTGACTTACAGAATAAGGACTCAGGAAGATCAATATCATCGAAAGTGGGAGAAATGGACTGATTACATAAACTGGATAAAGACCATCACAAATTAATTTATTAATTTATTTCTTTATTTTATTTAATTTTGTTTTGTTTTGTTGTTACCTCTTATGTCATCTGTGTAATGTTTAAAGAAAAACAATAAAAAGAAAGTAGTAAAAAAAGAAAGAAGAGAGAGCTTAATAAGTAACACGGTCATTGTTAATACAGTTAAAACAGCAACTACAAAGCAAAACAAGGCAAGTTAGCATGTCAGCTATTAGTTTATTTATTCATTATCATGAAAAAGTAATTAACCATAACAGCTGGAGTCAAATAATCAGCCACACTGCTGGTGACAAATATAAACAAACAACATATATATATGAAAATAAACACAACATATAGACTTTTACTCATGTTAATATTATTAGTAAAGCATTAACACTTTATTGTTGCCCTCGTGGAACATTTGATATGTTTAAGATTTATTAATGATTACTGAATGATTTACAATTTTTGGCAGTTTGTAAAACAGCTTTTAACATTACTTGAACTAAAACCTTTAAATTTTTCTTAGATTCATAAAACTGTAACCATTAATTCACAAACTTCATAGTCTTTAAAAATAGTTAATCTTGAGATAAAATAGCATGTCAACAGAAAAGGGTTTAAAATGCAAAGATGTCCCCACATATTTATGTGCTGATATTAGGGATATTAGTGTGTGTGAATGTGAGCGTGAATGAATAGTGGTATTGTAAAGCGCTTTGAGGGGTCTCAAAAAGCGCTATATAAATGCAATCCATTATTATTATATTCGAGGTTAACAATCAGTGAGTTTGAAGTAAAGTGGTGAGGAGATAATCATGCAAAGCAAAATCACATCACAACATATCAATCCCAGAATATGTGATTCAAAGCAAACAAAAAAGAAACATCATCCACATTCAGCTTTCATACCACTGACTTGTAGTTTCTGCCTCTTCTAAACAGTCAAGCTCTACAGACTTGTTAGTACACAAATGACTCAGAAACACAGAGGAGTCACTGGACCACAGTCCAAACCCAGGATACAGAGGTTCAGTGAATGTGGTGCTGAAGGTGTGGAGGTGGATCAGAGTGTCAGAAGAGACTCCGTAGAAGGACAGAGTGCCAGCAGGACAGTCCACATACACCCCTACTCTGTGAGAGACTGAGGAGGAGGAGAAGATGGGTGTTTCTCTATTGTTGTGCCAGAATGAGTAACCAAAAGCGTCAGAACACATCAGACTCCAGGACTGATCATTTCCCGCAAATTTGCAGTCGGCACTGTTTCCTCTCCTTCTGATGCTTTTGTAACTCACTGATATAAAACTGCCTCCTTTCCACTCAACTTCCCAGTAAGAGCGACCAATCAGCCCATTTTTGCACAGAAGCTGTTTCCACCAGTCAAATCTGTCTGGATGATCAGGATAGGGCTGCTTGTTCTCCACAACGGTCACCTTCATGTTGTTGTCAGATAGTTTGAGTTTTTTATTTATTGAAGTCATGTCCACTTTTAATTCACAGAAATCTGATGGAGAGAGAAACACACAGCAGAGATACAGTTTATCATCTGACACATCTAGTGTCTGTTCTTTCATTATGTTCTGTCATTTTATTTATATAAAACTTAATATCACTGTCATCCCTCGCACATACAAGGTCTTAAATAATCAGGCCCCATATTATCTTAATGACGTTATAATGGATTGGATTTATATAGCGCTTTTCAAGGCACCCAAACCGCTTTACAATGCCACTATTCATTCACTCTCGCATTCACACACTGGTGGAGGCAAGCTACGGTTGTAGCCACAGCTGCCCTGGGGGAGACTGACAGAAGCAAGGCTGCCATATCGTGCCATTGGCCCCTCTGGCCAACAGTAAAGTGTCTTGCCCAGGGACACAATAACCAGGACAGAGAGCCGGCGACCTTCCGGTTACAGATGCGCTTCCTAACCCGGTGAGCCACGGTCGGTTATAGTACCATATCACCCTATTAGAGTACTTCGCTCTCACACTGCAGATTCACTTGTTGTTCCTAGAGTATTTAAAAGTAGGATGGGAGGGAGGGCCTTCAGTTTTCAGGCCCCTCTTCTGTGGAACCAGCTTCCAGTTTGGATTCAGGAGACATACACCTCACCAGCTCAGCGACTAGAGCCTGAACTTCAACAGGTAGCAGCCTCCATTCTACGTGTTTATGTTTTCTAGTTTCAGTAGGCTCAGCGTGTGTGACTACTTTGTGTTCATACATAAATATTAAAAGAAAGCTTGTGTGCTCTCATCAGGATAGGGGTTTGTGTTGGGGTATGGTATTGTAGCTCATAGGTTTATACTATTAACAGGTAATGTGACGAGCATCCGCTTTCTGGGATTTCCTTACCTGGATTAATCCAATTATTAAGTGATGAATCCTACTTCCGGGCCTAAAGTAGTCTGCATTTAATATGGCTTTTGTGTTGTTAACATGTTTAATGTTTTGTATTTTCTTCTATTTAATCTCAAAAAGCTCCTAAAAAAAAGTCAGTGATCACCGTTGACCTCCCTCGGCTTTTATTACCGCTAATCATTTATTTAAGCTCAGTTTTTAAAACCTTACGATGTAACTACAGCACAGCCCATGCATGTATATGAATGACTAACCTCGTATTGTGGATGGATTATCTCAGTTGTTCTCCTGGCTGAAGTTTGGTCCTTTTACAGCATCCTGCCATGCGATTACATTTGTTCCTGACCACCGAGAACACTCACGGTAACTTTTATCGAGTGGAAAAAAAGTTAGCTTGTTTATATTATGCTAACATAGCTGTGTCGTTAGCGGTCACGTAGCACATCATTATATACCAGCTAGCCAAACTTCAGTAACCCTACAAACGTCACTGCTGTTTAGTTTTCTGTCTTCATTTATGTTGGAAGTGATAACAGAGCTGTACATTTTAATTTGTTTCCAAACCGCCACAGTCAGGACATGCTATATTGTATTTAGATGGAAGCTAGCGAGCTAACTTCCTGCTGACTTCTAACTCCGTTAAATGTCATAAATTCCGTTTTCATGGATGCCTGGATGTTAAACTCAGTTGTTACACCTGGTAGAGCAGAACGCTGATCATTTCATTAAAGATGAAAGACTTTAGACAGTTTTTCAACTCTCAGTAATGCCACAGTGATCATTTGATATATGGACCTGCAGCAGAGTGTAGGCCCAGACACGGCTAGTGACGTCAGACTGAACGATCGGATGAGCACACATCAACTTATAGCACAGCGATAAAATTTGGATTTTGCTGATTTGTCATCATTTGTCAAACTTACACTTCCTCAAACCAGGTTTTAACCACTGCTGTCCACCATGATCGAGCCTGGAGAAAGAAACACAGTAACAATGATTTTCTATTCAACATGAGATCTAACTGTTGCACATGAAGCACCAGAGTTTTCCCTGTTCTTCCAAGTTTGACCCAGTTACATTAGGTAGTTATCTTTTATTTGTTCCTTATATCTAATATTTGTAAGTACATTGTTGTTCTAAATCATCTAAGAAAATTATCAGTGTAAGCCAAGACTACTGACAGTGTTCAGTAATGCCTGTACTACTGGAGCACAAAATAGTTTTTTTTAATATGGACAGCAGCTATCCACCAATAATGCTGCTAAAACTGGGATGCTGCTAAAAGAATCCAAGTCCGCCCAGACTGGAATGTGTGCAAACCAGTTAAACCCTCCAATATGTGAAATATTGTCACTGGAAATTAAAATTTTGGTTTGTTCTAGCTAAAATTCAGAAATACCCAAAATGAGCTCTTCTTTATGATGATGCTCTGAGCAAAAACACATTAAATCAGCAAACAATTAGCCAAAATAGTATTAAATGAGTAGCCATGCCCTGTCCATACCTGAGTTTCCAGTGTGGATCCTTGAGTCCCTGCCTCACTTTCAATTTTCCTGGATGATTGTAGCGAAGGTCAAGCACTTTCAAGTGGGAATGATTTGAGCTCAGAGCTGACGTCAGGAAAGTACAACCTTCCTCTGTGATTAGGCAGCCTGACAGGCTGGAAGAAGAAAAATGCCACAAAATGCCACAAAATTCAAGACGTTAAAGGACAATCATACAATTAGAGAATAGAAGAATCAAACAGAACTCAGAACTGTCTGTAACTGTTGAATGACTGCCATCCTGACCTCAGAGTTTCCAGTTTACAATTTGGACTCATCAGACCAGCAGAAAGAAGTTTAACTCCTGAATCTTGCAGGTTGTTGTTACTCAGGTCTAGTTCTTCCAGAATACATGTTTCTGAGCTTAGAACCGAAGACAGAGCTTTGCAGGTTCTCTCTGACAGGTTACAACAACTCAACCTGAAAAACAACTAAAAATGAGCCGCTTTGTTCTATAAAAAGTTGTTGTTTTATTCATAAATCCACTTACAGGGCTTTCTTGGCGACTTTGACCACAGGCAGCAGCCCCAGAAGAGCCTCCTCTGATGCAGAGTATTTCTTCAGGTCAAACACATCCAGATCTTCTTCTGAACAAAGCAAGACAAATACCAGAGCTGACCACTGAGTAGGAAACAGTTTATCTGTGGAGAGACTTCCTGAACTGAGGAGCAGTTGGATCTCCTGCACTAGAGAACGATCATTCAGTTCATTCAGACAGTGGAACAGATTGATCATTTTTTCTGCAGACAGATTCTTTCTGAGCTTCTTCTTGATGTAGTGGACTGTTTCATGATTAGACTGTGAACTACTTCCTGTCTGTGTCAGAAGGACTCGTAGAGTGGTCTGATTGGTCTGCAGTGAAAGACCCAGGAGGAAGCGGAGGAACAAGTCCAGGTGACCATTTGGACTCTGTAAGGCCTTATCCACAGCACTCTGGTGGAGATCTTTCAGTTTAGGTTTGTCTTTAAATACTTTGGACATCTTAGATATTGTTTGCTGTTTCTCCAGTAGATTTACTCCAGAGTTGATGAAGGTCAGATGGACATGAAGAGCAGCCAAAAACTCCTGAACACTCAGATGGATGAAGCAGAACACATTCTCCTGATACAGTCCTCTCTCCTCTTTAAAGATCTGTGTGAACACTCCTGAGTACACTGAGTTTCCTCTGATATTGATGCCACACTCTGTCAGGTCTGATTCATAGAAGATCAGATTTCCTTTCTGCAGCTGATCAAAAGCCAGTTTTCCCAGAGACTTGATCATCTTCTTGCTCTCTGGACTCCAGTATGGATCTGTCTCAGTGCCTCCATTATATTTGATCTTCTTCACTTTGGCCTGGACCAACAGAAAGTAGATGTACATCTCAGTCAGGGTCTTGGGCAGCGGTCCTCCCTCTCTGGTTTTCAGCACATCCTCCAGAACTATAGCGGTGATCCAGCAGAAGACTGGAATGTGGCACATGATGTGGAGGCTTCGAGATATCTTGATGTGGGAGATGATCTTGTTGGCCTGCTTCTTATCTTTGAATCTCTTCCTGAAGTAGTCCTCCTTCTGTGGGTCAGTGAATCCATTGAGCTCTGTCACCATGCCAACATACTCAGGAGGGATCTGATTGACTGCTGCAGGTCGTGTGGTTATCCAGATGTGGGCAGATGGAAGGAGTTTCCCCCTGATGAGGTTTATCAGCAGCACATCTACTGAGGTGTGCTCTGTAACATCAGTCAGAATTGTAGTTTTGTGGAAGTCCAGAGGAAGTCGACACTCATCCAGACCATCAAAGATGAACACAACCTGGAAGTCTTCAAAGCTGCAGATTCCTGCTTCTTTGGTTTCAGTAAAGAAGTGATGAATAAGTTCCACCAAGCTGAACTTTTTCTCTTTCAGCACATTCAGCTCTCTGAAAGTGAATGGAAACATGAACTGGATGTCCTGGTTGGCTTTGTCTTCAGCCCAGTCCAGAGTGAACTTCTGTGTTAAGACTGTTTTCCCAATGCCAGCCACTCCCTTTGTCAGCACTGTTCTGATTGGTTTATCTTTAACAGATGAGGCTTTAAAGATGTCTTCTTGTCTGATTGTAGTTTCTGGTCTGTCTGGTTTCCTGGATGCTGTTTCAATTTGTCTGACCTCATATTCATCACTGACCCCTGCAGTCCCTCCATCTGTGATGAAGAGCTCTGTGTAGATCTGATTCAGAAGGGTTGGGTTTCCTGTTTTAGCAATCTCCTCTAACACACACTGGAACTTCTTTTTCAGGTTAGACTTGAGTTCATGTTGGCACCCTGGAGCACGGGTCCCTGAAGGATCACAAAATCATGTTATTTTTACAATAAGTTAATGCGATCAGATAAATGAAAAATAAAGCAATAAAACAGCCTCTCAGGAGGAGTTAAATGGTGCAGATGTTTTGCATCATATTAAAGATGAGCTGAGGTTTGAAATACAAACTTCCAGAACTTCCACATCATGTCAAAGCTAATAAAAGATTCTTACTGCTCTGAAGATGGTCAGCCAGCTTCCTCTGCTTCATTCTCCTCAGGAAGTGGAGTGTGATCTTCAGAAATGCTACTCTGCTACTCTTCCTTTGCTGTTCGTCCTCATTCTCCAACATCTCATCATTCTCCCTCAGACTCTCTAAGCATTCTGGGTAATCTGCACTCAAAACTTTCTGGATCTTCCTGAGCTCGGTCTTTACAAAATTGACCATTTTTATCTCCAGTAACTGAAAAAGGAAATAATAAGAACCTATAAGCTGATTGCTAAAACTGTCTAGTGTCCAATTAGCACACGAAATGCATCCTTCCATGTCATTGATACAGCATTAATTGGTCTCACCATGAATATGACATCCAGGTCTGTTTGATGCTGAACGACAGACTGACCACTGGGAACCTCTGAGCTCTGCTGGGTAACCCTGTGAGAACATTCAGTTTTAGGAAGTGTACAGTAAAGGTGCACTCTGTATTTAATGTGAATGTTGGGTTTATGTTTTATTATTGTCATTTGTGCATAGAAATTTATAATCATTTATGCTTAGAAGTATATAAATGTTTGTAGATTGATAGAGGTTTGATCCTTAGCAGTCTGTAAAGACTCTGTATGCCTTCCAGAGTGTTCTGGCATGCACACACACACCCTAAGGTCATGAGAGAGGTCATACCTTCTCTTTCTGATTTATACTATATGAGGACACCTACTCTGTATCTGCTTAAGTATAAGAGCCCTTTGTTTAGGTGGACCGCTGCGCTCCTAGCACCAGCTTTGGGGAGTCGTTCACAGGGTCACATCTTGACTATGGGCTCAAATTGTGGCCATAAATATTTTGTACTTGTAAATCAGTTTTGTACTTGTAAATCAGGATTTGTATGTGTAAAAAGAATTTATGTGTGTGTAAAAAAAATTTGTATGTGTAAAAAGAATTTGTGTGTGTAAAAAAGATTTGTATGTGTAAAATGAACTTGTGTGTATGTAAAAAAGGTTTGTGTGTGGACTTCGCCAAAAAATACGTGTGAAACTCTGCACTCAAGTTTCAAGTTACAAGTACAAATTCTGACCCCATTTTTCTTCCTTTCAGCTGATTGGCCAATGTCATGTCAATCACAAACTTAACTATCCAATCAGAGAATAGATGGGTTTGGCTGTCGGAGGGGAGCTTTTTTGAACCACAGGTCCTTGAAGGGTAATACAGTTTGAAGCTGGAGGATCTCTATATAAATATCCGATAGAAGCTAGGTCCCCTAACTTTCAGTAGCTGTTGAAAGGATAAAGTTGTGGTATATCAGTGGTTAGAAATACCATTATTACTTTAGGATTAGTTTAACACAAAGTCAGGGCTGACCCGGGAGCATTGCTGTGAGTCACACTGCGCAGCATAAAGCTCCTTTCACATTGGACGCAGCATGTGCTGCTAATGCTAACTGCTAACTAAAAGCCAAGGATCCAGAATTTGTTGTGCTGGCTGCTGAGCTCTGTGGGTTTTTGCGGCATCTGTACTAGATGCACCTGCTCCTTGTCGTTTCTATCTTTGACTTTATGTCCTCTACAAGCGTTTCTGTTTTTTTTGCTGGTTCTTCAAATGTTCAATAAAAACATGTATGCTCATTCATAACGAAGAAAGCTTTGTAACTATCCCCACTAGTGGAGACTGTGTCATTTCCACAACACTGCCCCCCGAGGTCCACAGCACTGTTGAAAAGTCTCTGGAGGTCCCTGTATTAAGCACATAAATCTGTGACACAAAAATCACAAAACCACAGACTGTTTCCCTTCCTGATGATGAAGGAAAACGCTGGGCTGGCATGTAAAAGGGCATTTATTTCCTTCAAGGACCTGAAGCTCCATAAAGCACCCCTCCAATAGCCAAACCCATCTGTTCTCTGATTGGATAGTTAAATTTGTGATTGACATGACATTGGCCAATCAGCTGAAAGGAAGAAAAATAGGGTCAAAATTCATACTTGTAACTTGAAACTTGAGTGCAGAGTTTCACACGTATTTTTTGGCGAAGTCCACACACAAATCTTTTTTACATACATACAAATTCTTTTTACACATACAAATCCTGACTTACAAGTACAAAATATTTATGACCACAATTTGAGCCCATACTTGACCCCCCCTCACACACACACGCGCATGCCTATACATACACACAGACATGGTTCTCGTTCACATGTATGCCTGTGTAAAACTTCATATGTTAATGAACTTATGCATAGTCATGTAACTGTAATAAAGAGCAGTGTTACGAGGGGGCAGACGAGAGCAACTGGGTCAAGCGAAGGAACGACGCTCGTCACAGTTCTCTCCCTCGTGCATGAGTAAGACAAAGAACTTTGGTGAGTTGCGTCTTGCTTTTGCTGTTGTAGTAGAATTGTCTCGTTCCAGCAGTAGGTCTGTGCTAGACAGACCCAACAGTGAATATCATGGCTGTATGTGATTATGCTGAAGAACAACGTTTGCATGCTGTTTGCTCCTCCAGGTGGGCAGGTGACCAACTGCCCTTGTTTTCACCTACTTCTGATCCAAACTCTGATCACAGATGCTGAGAGCAGTGATACATCCATGGAGCTGGATGTGAACAGGCTGTGTCAGAAAGTCTCCTTATATTTCAGCTGCATTGTTATAACAGTAGTGGTAATTAATACATCAATAAATTTTCCTAAGGGCATTTTTCCATAAGTGCCTGGGAGTAGCGTTTTCCAGCAGTGTGCTTTCCTGTGCAAACGTGAGTCAGACCGTTTTGGGTCCCTAGGTTGACCAGTGTAAGTTTTTTTTTTTTTTTAATTTGCCCCATCAAAAAAAATAACGATCAATCAAAATGAATGTTGGTGCCAATCTTTGGACCATCTAAAGGCCTAATTATAATAACAATCAAATATTACTTAAGTCTTTTGTTTTTTTCGGCTAAAAAAATGGTGCGCTCATGTAAAGAAACTGGGATTTAAAGGGTTAAAACCCCCGAAATATAATTAAAACTTGATATGAATATTTTAGGCAGAAGTAGTTTTAAAAGACTGACTCATTTAAAGTGGAAAAAAATATTAATATATAACATTTTTGGGGCAGGACCATTTTGGGTCCCTAGGGTGACCAGTGTAAGTTTTTTAAACGATGACACAAGGGAGGGTTTTACATTAGGAGTAGCACATTATAGGTTAGGACAACAGAACAAAAACAAGACAACAGAACAACAAAAATACAGAGGCAGGTACATGATATGGAGTGTGTTTGGAGATTTGATTGATATTGGTAGACGCATGTAACTTACCACCGTAGCCTTTGATACTGGTCGGATTTGTGTATAGCAGTTAGATTATTTGGCCACTAGAAGGCTCTGTTGAACACCTAATTGCTGATCTTTACTAATTTTGAGATATTAGGCCTTTTCTGTTGTTTTGGATATGCAGATATTCCTGCTTTCTACCTGTTTAAAATGGCACTGTGAGATTTTCCTAAGCCAGAGCATTTATTTAATCGTTTATGTTGTAATTCATTATTGGTGTGTGATGTTGAAAAGCAATGATTGTTATTCTCCCTGTTTTCTTGTTATTTAAAACCACACACATACGCACTCCCATACTCTCATTGAGTATACCAATTGGTGTACTACTGGCCTGCTGTTAATGTTCATTAAAGTATCTGGAAAGCACTCCCTGAGCCCACTCTCTGACTGGTCCCTCAGTCTTTGTCCTGAGGGAGCTATCACATCAGCATCTCAGAGATAACTCTCTAACTGTCATGGTCCTGGGTCGTGTGACCCAGTGTGTTATGCTTAACCTATTTTGATGTTTATTGTTTGCTTAGGTTCTTTAAGGTAGTCCAGTCCTTTTGTAATTATGTTACCCTTGCATTACGTCTCCCTTGCCCTTCGTGTTTTTACGTCTGTGTGTCTTGTACTGTCAAGTTCATGCTGTCAGTCATGTCACCTCCCCCTGTACTACGTCTCCCCGGTTCATGTCTCGTGTTTCCTGTTTTACTTTGAAGGCCTGCATTCACTGTCTGTGTATTCAGCTCACTCCTCCTGTCCTGTCGTTAAGTTCATGTGTGTCAGCTGCGTTCCCATGTGTGCCACTTCCCCTGATCATCCCTCATGTGTATTTAGTCTCTGTGTTTCTTACAGTCTGTGTCGCGTCGTCTGTGTTCCCACCCTCCGTGTTTCCATGCCTGGTCTGTTGTCTTCCAAGCCATAGCCTCACCATAGTTTGTTCCCAGTTTAGGTTTTTGTTTAGCCACGCCATCCCTGCTGTATTTGCACACCTTGTTTTCAGCCATATTAAAGGCTCGCCTTCTGTTAAAGTTCACTCCCGTCTGTTCACTTGTGTACGCACCTGGGTCCATTACACGCATTCTCCACTTGGTCCGTCACAGCGGACCGTGACACTAACAGGCTGTCTGTGACATGTTGTTTGGTAAACTGAGTAGCTTACGTCATTTCTGTGGAGGTGAGGTAGCTATATACATTGTTGTAATTTTTTTTTAACTTGAACTTTAATTGTTCTAGTTATACAGCATAAAGAGGACATAGTGTATTACACACTCACAAGGTAACTCACATTTCTCCAGATGATGCTTGGCCATTAAAAGCCAAAGCTGAGTGCACAGACATTGAGCTGGTTACAGGAGAGACTGCTGTTTGCTGCTGGAGCCTGACAGAAACAAAACCAGAATCAGACTGTAGATATTTGTCACACATCCTGAGTTTTGTGGCATTTTGTATGTTTTAGTTGTTGAGTATTTTTGTTCCAGCAAAAAAAAAGCTGTGTCTTTTCAGTTCAACTCTCAACTCTTCAATCTCTGGCTGTGTGTGGGTCTACCTGGCACACAGCCAGAGATGACAACTGACATTTCAAAATAAATCATTACATCAAGTAGAAACTTGAAGAGTAGGTACTTAGGTTTAAAAGATACTTGTAAATCTAGGTTAATTCAGACAGTTGGTAGTTATTAGTTCAGTATTTTGTGTAAGCTCATCTAAAGGGAGGACCCGGATTTGCAGCCGTGCAGCTGCAGTGTAGCCTGTCATTCAGCCTGTGTACTGAAGGACCTGTTCTGTCCAGTCAACATACACTGTTAGATCGGCATACACTTTGATTTTATGAGCTGTATGAAACCCTGACTTGTCGTCTCTACGCTGAGATTACGGAGCGCCCCGGCTGTCAGACTTTAGTCTTTCCAGTATGTAATCCTCTCTTCTCACTTGCTTCC